TAGTGATACTGCCTCGGAAACCCAAGAAGGGGTCGCTATGAGTCAGGGCTGACTCGACGGCACATAACAACAACAACAACAACAACTATGTCAGGAATGACATATTGAAGAGGAATGACGTCACATTCATTGTCAAAAAGAACATTTCAAGATCTATCCTGAGTACAATGCTATCAGTGATAGGATAATATCCATATGCTCACAAGGAAGACCAGTTAATACATTATTGAAATTTACCAACCAACCACTTAAACCAAAGATAAAGAAATTGAAGGTTTTTAACAACTTCTGCAGTCTGAACTTGACCAAACATGCAATCAAGATGTATTCATTATTACTGGTGATTGGAATGCAAAAGTTAGAAACAAAGAATCTTTGGTAGTTAAAAAATATGCCCTTAGTGAAAGAAATGATGTTGGAGATCACATGATAGAATTTTCCAAGACCAATGACTTATTCATTGCAAATACCTTTACAACAATATAAACAATAGCTATATACTTGTACCTCGCCAGATAGAATACACAGGAATCAGATCAACTACATCTACAGAAAGAGACAATGAAGAAGCTCAACATCTTCACTCAAATTAAGGTCAGAAAAAGGTCAAAAAATAGCTGACTGTGGAATAGACCATCAATTGGTCATATTCAAGGTCAAGTTGAAGCGGAAGAAAATTAAAGCAAGTCCATGAGAGTGAAAACACAGCCTTGATTATATACCACCTGAATTTAGAGACCATCTGAAGAACAGATTTGATACTTTGGAAACCAAGGACCAAAGACTAGATGAGTTGTACAATGACATCAAGAACATCATCCATGAAGAAAGCACAATGTTATTGAAAAGACAGGAAAAGAAGCAAAGACCAAAATGGTGTCGGAAAAGACTCTGAACCTTGGTCCTGAACAGAAAGTAGTGAAAATGAATGGACAAAATGACAAAATAAAAGAGCTGAACAGAAGATTTCAAAGGGCAGTTCAAGAAGATAAAGTAAAGTATTATAATGAAATACGCAAAGATCTGGAGTTAGAAAACCAAAAGGGAAGAATATGCTCAGCATTTCACAAGCTGAAAGAACTGAAGAAAAATTTAAGCTTCGAGTTGCATTACTGAAGGATTCTATGGGCAAAATATTGAAGATATAGAAAGCATCAAAACATGGAAGGAATACACAGAGTGGTAAAAAAAAAAAAAAATTGGTCCACATTCAACTATTTCAGAAGGTAGTATATGATCAAGAACCAATGGTATCAAAGGAAGAAGTCCAAGCTACACTGAAGAAATTG